GGAATGAGTTTGAAGCTGATACCTGTCATTCTGTCATCAAACTAAATATTCCTTATACCTTTCTATATCTTATTTCTTTTATATCTTTGTTGGTTCCCTGCAGACATAATATTTGCATATAAATTAGTCCTTTGGCCAAAAACAAAACAAAATCCTAATACTTTTGAGATTCATCATTTACCGTATTAATCATTATTTAAGGGAGATGAAGTAAATAAAACACTTATAGTTTCATATGTGATTGCTAATATGCAGGGTGCATGAAGACCTTGTATTTGAGGGTATTTGGTACTGTTGTGCTGCATAATAAACTTGTCAAAGCATTTCGCTTCAAACGAAATGTAATCTAAAGACAGTGTGACAGCTATGACCTTGCATCTTCAGAGGGACTTGCTTTTTTTAGATGACGGGGAAGCTTTTCGTTCCCCCTAGGATTTAGAATGCCTGAATATTTTAGCCTGAACATTGTATTTTGACCATTTTTTTCCCTCAAACAAGACACTCTGAAGTATTACCAGAGGAGACTAACATATGAGGCAACTGACGGATATTTTTGTTTTATATTAAAATATCGATTGCACACAAATTTTAATAGCGCTGTTTAAGGGCTATAGAAATGCAATCAACGTTTCAAAGCTGGAGCTTGATTTGAAGCAGCAAGTGGCTGAATGCATTGCTATATCCTGATTGGAAGGACAATGTGTGTATCCATGCCTGGGACTTTTCTGTTCTGGGACAAACACATGCACAACTTCTCTGAACAAATGCAATGTCTGTTCCTAGCCCCTGTGAATTTAAAGCAGAGTAGTTATTCTGGAATAATTCTCTCTGTGTGTAATCATTCCAGAATAAACAGCTATTTTTCTGCTTTAGCTTATTCCATTTCCAAGTAGCATAAGTATATTTACTCTAGAATAACTCAATGTGCAGACAGGTCCTTCAACTTGATCTAGTTCATCCATCAGAAGAGGTTTAAGATATTACAGGGACATTCCCAATTCTTTATAGCTATAAAAGTCCTTAACGTTATATTTGAAGTCAATAGAATTACCCACAACTAGAAGAATGTGTCTCATCTATTTAGGTGCAGAAAGGTGACTGAAATAAATAAATAACTAATACCTTCATAGAGAGTCTCTCTATTTGTAGCAAAACCTGGCACACAGTACTACCTGTCTAGGAGGATGCTCTGTATTTTTTAGTTATACCTAGATCAAATTGTTGCACAAAATAAAGAAGTCTCCTTACATTGAGGGACCAGTTAAAATTTGGGTCTGTCTTGGAAGTGAAAATCATGCTTTATGATGGTTGGATTGTTTACAGAGCTTCCTGCACATGAAATTGTACTGGAGGGAAGACGCTAGTTGTTTTTCTTTTGATAGGTAGCTAGATAGAGGTGGAGGCTGACTGCAGCTAGGCTTAATAGTTTTGTTCTGTGTTTTTTTTTGAGGGTGGGGAGTGCTAGCAGTTTTAGGCTAGGGATAGACATTACACACAAACCAGTTTAAGTGATCAGAAACTGGTTTAAACCTGTAACAAAACAGGTTTGGTGGACATAAACCAGTTTCAAAATGGCTAAAACCAGTTTGAGATAAACATGGTTGAATGTAGTATCCAACTTAACTGATTGAGCTCAAACTGGTTGATGCAATGTCTGTCCCAGACCCCTTCCTAGTTTAACTTAAACCAGAGTCCCCCAGCATCCCAACATGCTCTCTGAGCTGGGCATTCTACTTCAACCCAGCAGGGCTATCCCTGCCTCTCTGCTCCCCAGCCCAAGCAAGGACAGGCAAGGCTGGCCCTGGCTCTGGCCCTGAGAAGGAGGCAGGGAAGAGGTTTATTTCCCACCCCCGCTTCCCCTGCCTCACTGGCATGGACCTGCATGTCTCTGCTGGCTGCTCCAGTTGTGGGGGAGGGGCAAGGCCAGCCCGGGCATTAGCTCTGAGTGAGCTGGCCAGGGAGGAGTTTAATTCCTCCCTCCCTGTCCCACCGGTATGGTTCTGGGCCAGGGTCCCCTGGCACTCACGCCTCACTGCTGCAGCAACAGAGCTGGGGCATGGCAGGGAGGTGGGTTATCCCCCCCGCCTCTGCCCCTGGGTGACTGCAGCCAGGGTCTGCACACCCCAACCATCCCTTCCCCTGCTGGCTCAAACTAGTGGTGTCGGTGGTACTGAGGTGTGATGGTTCCCTCTGAGCCCTGGTGCCACCAGCTGCCCTATGTAGTCTGTGGCAGCACTGATCCCGCTCGCGGCCCCCCACCAGGAAGAGGCTCGGGCTGCCTGGAAACCAGAGCAGGGGCTGCTGCTCCATTAGGGCCCTGTCTGCTCGCTGCTGCAGTGGCAGAGCAGGGGCACAGCTAGAGTCTGGCTGGCAGGCCCTTTAGGTGAGGGGGCAGTGAGGGGGTTATGCCCCACTTCCCTGTGGCTTCTGGCAGAGGTCTCTTATCCTACAGCTTGCCACATGCATGGATACAGCAGTGGCGGTCAGAGTGGTCAGACCCCACTGTGGTCCCCCCCCCCCCACCACAGGGACCATGCTGACCAGTGTTTCACTGTGCCCCAGCCCCGCTGCTGTAGCAGCAAGGAGGGGATCGCCAGGCGGAACAAAGGAAGTCAAGGCTTAGGAAGAAAATACTATACTAGGGTTAAAATGAAAACAGTCTCATCAAAGGAATTTCCTTTCCAATTTCACTGCAGTTGAAGTAGGAAAGAATAGCAGAGAACGAATGAAAAATAGAATATGCTTACATATACTGAATGGGCACTTTATAAAATAGAAAAAAACAGAGACCTTAGCCTCACACCCATAATTGTTTTTTTCAGATTACCATTATTTCTCATCATAGGAAAGTATAAGGATAGATTTCTCTATTGCAAGTAGTCTTCAACATAGTTTCCTAATGAATGAACTACACTATTATGTATTTAAAAGGACCACTTTGTGCTTTAGGTACATCTGATGTGTGCTACATTTTAAAAACTGAAGTGCTGTCTCCTACTTCATCACTAAAGAAAGTCCCAAGGTCACTTATTAACTGGTGTGAAACTGGAGGAATATATTAGAGAACATGACCCTTTTAATCTATACTGGAGGCTGCTTTGTGAAGAACCTCTCTATTCAAGTACTTGTTTTCTTCCTGTTTCACAAACTCCCATTTGCTCTGGATTCATTTGATCTGTTCTCCTGTGGCTTTGTCTGTATTGCTGTTCTTAGACATCTTTAATTGATTCAGGGTAGTCCTAGTCAGAGCTGTGTGACATTATAATGATGTTTTCTAGTCGCTGCTCTGAAGGACTTTCTACTATCATCCACAATTTCTAGGCCTACATATTGAACAAGACAAAGTTTAGTTTAGCTTTTGGATCTAGTCAGAAACATTGTACAGGCTGCAGTGCCAATAGAATGTGATACAATTGATACTTAATAATCCTTTAGTAACATCACAAGTTTTATTGGTTAGAGTGTGGTGCTATTAATGCCAAGGTCTTAAGATTGATCCCCAGTTGGACTAGATGATCTCTTGAGGTCCCTTCCTGCCTTACACCTCTATGATTTATTACATGGGATAATTATTATATGGGATTATTACTATAGGGGATTTATTCTTTTGCAACATAAAAATTGGACAAATCAAGATTTGCACCTTTCTGGAGATTCAGTTAGATGGTGGTATCTACCTCATTGCCTAGAGACATTGTATTCCTATAGGTTGAAATATTCAACAGTTTACCCTGTACAGTATCTAGCACTGACATTATGAAAACCACAGTGGAATCGCATGGAAATTTCCCCACACTCTAAATCAGGAGTTGGCAACATATGGCCAGGGACCAGAAGTTGCCTGTGGAGCCCCTACATATGGCCTGCAAAACTGGAGGGCTTTGTCTCTGCCTACACCCATGCTAGGACTGGGTAGCTGGAAGTTGTGCCTGCATCACAGCTACTTCTCTTCACCCTTTCCCCATGACAGCAGAACATGTGCAGCTTCTAGCTAGTGGGAAACTGAGCTGGGATTGGGCAGCTTTCAGCTGTGTCCATGCTGTAGTTAGGAAAGGAAGGGCAGAGGTGGCGGTGCTCCCAGTTCCTGGGCCCAGTGCACTGTGGACTTATGACTGGAAGCTACACTTGCGCCTCAGCTAGGGAGCACCCATTTAGATCTCACCTATCTGACCCTGACACAGGTGCAGGCAAACCTCCCACTGATGATGCATATTCAAAACCACCCGGCCTGTATCAGAGTTGAGCCATGTTGTTTCAACCCATGGCATGAAAAGTTTCTGGCCCATGCCCTAAATCACACTCTTATTTTATTTTAAACTTTCTGTAATTTATATCTGCCCCAAACAGTTTATCTGAACAAGTAATGACTTTAACTCTCCTCCTTATTTGGCTGAATTCTCTCCTTCTTTATTGGTAGAGCGAGACATTTCATACAAGGCTAGGTTGTGTAATCTTCACCCACGTATAGGAGTCCCTTTGATGACTCATGTGAGCAAACAGTTGCATAATCTTTCTCATATGAAGAAAATGTGCAGTGAAAATAACTTCATTTTTTTCTGGGAGGTTATATATTTCTTCTGTACTCAATGGAAAATGGAGAAGAGGTGTTGGGAACTTGACTTGACTCAGGATATTTGCATTTGCTGTTTTTCTCCTCAAGTTATTTTCCCTCTGTGATTAGTGAAGCAAAACCAGAGTGTTTCCCCTTGTCATCCAAAGAGTCTGCAGGATATCATGCTGCTAATTGAAAAATTCTTACTTTTAAAGCTTTTCGTGGTATGCGGGTTTGATGAAATAAACAGGCCATAAATTGAATTGTAACAGCTGCCATGCTGTTTTTTAGACAATAGACGTTGCTAAGGTGAATTTTTTAAGGACAGATTATTGTTGGGTAACAAAATGCTATCATAAATTTTACAGTTGGAGATTTATCGTTTGCATGTCATTAATTTCAATCTTTTGTGAAATATTAATATGGGAAAATCCTGGCATAGTTAATAATGGTAACAGGTAAGGGTTTTATTTTTTATTGTGTGCCAGACTGCTTTGATCTTGCATGTTGGCCAAAGCTGAGTGGTCCATTAAATGGATTTCTATAAAAATGTACCTTAAATCCTTAACCATATTGCTACTGTGGATTAACCATAATTATTTCTTTCTCTTCACATAGTTTTCCCTTCACAACATGGAAAAGTTGCTATAGTGACTGGAGGTTCTGGAGGAATTGGTTATCATACTGCGAAGCATTTGGCAAGACTTGATATGCATGTTATAATAGGTACTGTCATTATTTTGTTAATATAAATATACACTATATTTCAGAAACTAAATCTTAATGTTAAAGAAATATATATTCAGCAGTAATAGACTACTTGCAAATAAAATCCTGCAAACCTTTTTAAAGGGAGTTGCTAATGCTTAGTACATCTAAATATTTGTCTTACAGTTTATATTGCAATCATTTTGAGAAATGTTCCTGGAATCTTCTCATAGAAAAATTTGCTCAAGGAAAAATTTTGTTTTGCTTTGGATAGAGAGGAAACTAAAACATGTTAATGTTGTGTCTTCTACCTTAACAGGGAAACTTTTAAGACTTGTTTAAAAAAATAAATTTACAGAATTTAATGTAGAGATTGGAGGGAGTACTTGCTGTTTTCAGTGGAGTAAATTACTAGAGTTGAACCCTGGCCTAAGCACTGAGAATGTACTTGACTGGATTTCCACTAGAGGGAAGAGGCTTACTGAATTGATAGAATCAGCAGTTACTCTGACAAGTTAGGCCTGGCCATTCTAAGAGTCCCTGTGATGTTTGGTGATACTGTCTGATGAGTAGGGCCCTACTGAATTCATGGTGGAAGTGGGCTCTGCTGTGGATCATTTTAATCTTGCAGGTTCCCCTGCATGTTCCCTACCACTGATAGGTGCCTTTTGCTTCCCTGCCTATCAGAACTGAGCCACAAATGGGGCCCCTCCACCGATCTGGGACTCTTCAGCCTTTTCAGAGAAGGCTGAGAGGGAGTTTTTTTGTTAGCAGCTTACCGCTACATTAGGGGAGTACATTAAGGGCTCAGTGAACAACTGTTCACCAGAGCACCCTTGGAGAAAACCAGGAGTAATGGCCACAAACTCTGAGAAGACCATTTTAGATTCAACATTAGGAAAACCTTCCTCACAGTTAGGGTGCCCAGACTGTGGAATAAGCTCCCTCCAGAGGTGGTGCAATTGCCTACCCTAGAAATTGTCAAGAGGACCCTGGATGGTCACCTGACCCAGTTGTCTTTCCTGCCTGGTGTACGGGGCTGGACTCAATCTTCTGAGGTCCCTTCTAGCCTTACAATCTATGAATCTGTGGTGGAGCAGCACCTGCTGGAACCTTCAAGATTAAAGGAACTCCAGTGCATCCCACTTCTGGTGTGAATTTGGTAGGGCCCTACTGATAAGCAACATATTTACAGGGGGGGATGAGGGGCTCTGTCCCTGGGTGACATCGAGGCTGCATATAGACATTTGGGGAGGTTAGATTGAGTTAATAATAGCCACCCAATCTAAGGTAAATTGGTCTAGCAGGGGAGTTAGTGGGGGGGAGGGGGCTGGGGTGATCAAGATGACAAGCAGGCTCTGGAGGCCCTGGGGGTGCTTGGGGGAAGGCATGGTCCATGGAAGGGTTCAGGGGGAAGTGGGGGCCATGAAAGGGATCAGGGGGATTGGGGGGCTATCAGAGACCATGGGAGGAATTGTGGGGGAGAGATCTGGAGGGCAGGTAGGGTGCGCAGGAGTATTGCTGAGGTTGGAGGGTTTGCTGGGATCTGGGGGGCTGGTAGGAGAGCGTGGGGGGATGGGGAGGCTCTCTCCCCCAATCCCTGAG